TGAGAGAGAGAGAGAGAGAGAGAGAGAGAGAGAGAGAGAGAGAGAGAGAGAGAGAGAGAGAGAGAGAGAGAGAGACAGAGAGAGAGAGAGAGAGAGAGAGAGAGACAGAGACAGAGAGAGAGAGAGAGAGAGAGAGAGAGAGAGAGAGAGAGAGAGAGAGAGAGAGAGAGTGTTCAATGTACAAAAGAATAACTGAAAATTATCCCTAATTATAGTCCGGATTTCAAGTAGCCCTACCCTACAGCTTTTTAAATTCTCCAGAAATGTCCCACAAAAATTATTTTATAAAAAAAATTATTCTGTTAGGCAGGGATACTCATTCTTGAAAGACTTCCTGTGCATAATTATAAAATAATCACATTCCTCAAAATATTTTCACGTTGTGGGCAGAGCGGATCATTAAAAAATGGCAAAAATGGAAGTGGCAGAAATGTCTGTTTTCAAAGAAATTGATATGGTCATGTCAATTATTCCTGCCCCCCCCCCCTTGAAAAAACAATGCAAGTGCCTAAATGTCGATCTTAATAGGGGATGATCTTCTTCCGCGTGCGTGTTAACAGGTTAAAGAATATAAAGATATATACATGAAAATTTGTATTCTGGTTATTTTAAAGTTTTCAATTAAATAATTTCCGTCTATCATATAACTTGGTTTAGATTTGCGATAATAAGAGCTAAAATAAGCAGTTAAAATTGATAAACAAGTTCTGAGATGCATACCAACCGCATAATATATACTGACACGCAAAAGAAACGCAACAAGCAGTAATCTGCAAAGGTTTGAATTTTTTATCTAATGATTTTCAAAAAAGAATTCAGTAAGGCTAGACTCACTTTTCAGAACATCAGGGGCTTGATAAAAATGTTAAATGGTTATCTTTTAACTTGACTAAGTAACATATGACTGTTAAAACACCCCCCTCCCAGCCATTCAATAACAACGTGCAAGAATATCCTAAACAGCAATTGCAGCTTAATTTTTACGATACAATAGGTTAATCAATATCGAGATCTGAGCAAAGGAATTATTCTTTGCCATTTTTAAATGCCTGTTTTTAAGATGATTATGTCGAATTTTCTCTAACTTAGCGCATTGTAGTAACCCTTGGACTTCCGGTCCAAGGACTATTATTTATGCATATGATACATAAGACCCCGTTGAGGCGTAATGCAGTGTATTTTTGCATCATCAACTCTCTATTACCTTTACGTTCAGATTTTCCAGTTAGAGCAATGGGAATGCTTACTTAAGCCATTTTCGAGAAGCCTTAGCATCGTAACGGGAAACAAAAGGAGATTTTATTTTTTGAAATATTGCTGTTTTAATTAAGATGAACAGTATAAACCCTTAAAACTCCCATAATATTGCCAAATGTGTTGTTAAACATGCAATTTTTGATTTCTGTTAAGCAGACTCAACCTTGACTTCCGGTTATGGTACGAAAATCGTTCAACCATTAAATTACCGATATTTACCAAATTGAAGATATCCATAATTTTAAGATACAAAATTCTTTACTTTACATAATTATTACCCCCAAAGTAGGGTGTTGCGTTTCTTTTGCGTGTCAGTATATGAATATGTTTATTAGAGCTAGACAATTTTAAGTAATACTTCATGATCAGGAAAACTTTATAGTTAACCCCCCCTCCTCAGCCACTCAAATACTGAATAAATTCTTTTACTTGTTATACTTTCCCTGACTAAAATCTGATCAGCACGGACTAGGTGTATTGACGAGCTAGACTGTACGGAGTAGTGACTGTGTGTTAACTTTTGGGGTTTTATGGAGTTAATTACTTTTTTACGATGTTTAATTCAATAAATAGAATTCAGGGTTTATATTACTTGACTTGTGCACATTTTAGAACCAATATAGTCATCTTAATACCAGGTATGGAAAGGTTAATAGCGTTCGATGCGTTTTGTCGACATGCATCCACTGCATTATAGACATGCAAAGCAAAAACGTTGATAGTTTGTTCTTTTCTAATTATGAATAATTATAAATTGTGTTTATGAGTTTTGCTGCTTTTTATTTCAAGTTCTTTCTGCATATATTGGCGCACTGTAAAAAGACATACTCGAGCAACTAAGTTTTACTTCCAAACTTGCATTTCCTTTCTTTTTTTATCATCTGTGATTTAAAACAATGATTATTCATGAATTTCATTATGACTGTTTTATCTGTTGTGGTTTTGAAATGTCTTGATCAGCTCATATGTTCTCAAATGATTTACCATCGGAGATGTGCACAAGTCGATAGCCGACCCCAAAAATCATTCAATAGTACAGAGCGCATTGGGGTATATATCGTTACAATAAGACAAGGTATATGAAAGAAATATGGCGGAAAACGGCTTTAGCTGGTATGAAGCAAGTCGCTCAAAGATGAAAATGTTTTTCAGCTTTAATTTCTAAATTTTTAAGCAAAACTCACATAGAAATAAAATAAAACTGGCACGATTCACTTTATGAGAAAATAGGACCCGGCTGTACATGTTTGCATATAAATAAAATTTCCCATTTTCATAACACAGATTTGAAATTTTGAGTTTGAATAAAGGATTCATTTAATATTTTCAAATATTCAGTTAAGAATTTTCTAGTCGACATCTTATCTGAAAAAATCCTCACGAAATAATTGACTCTCGCCCTCATTAGTGTATTTTCAAAACCCGAGATAAGGGATATTGTTCAAGGAAATATTTAGATATACAGCAGCGTTTGCTGATAAATAATTTAACAAAAATTGGAAACTTCCTTCCTCACGTAAGCAAATAAAATTTGAACAATTTAAAAAAAAAATCCATTAAATGTCTACAAAATCAGAGAATGCCTGATTTATTATAGCTTTTTAGAACAAATTCTGTAATGTAGCTTATTTAAATATTATTTACGTTACAAAATATATTCAGCATATTTTGTCCGATAATTATCTTTTAAAAAATAGTACACAAATTTGTTACTAGACTTTTGTATAAGGGAAATAGCAATTGTAAGATCTAACGAGAGAAGTTATTTCCTGAAGATATTATGTCCATATGATTTATTTCTTTTCTTGTGAGAATTGGTGTAATTTTTTTTCCCAAAAAAAAAATTATATTTGTGAAGTATCAAAGAATATTTATTATCAAACAAAGATTGTTTTTCATTTGTTAAATTGCACAATAGAGGCATTGTATTGTAAATATGCCATAGATTAAATATATTAATACCATTGCATTGCCCGGATATTGCGTCACATGTGTCCAGAAATGGGCAGCTGCTACAATATCCCTCACAGTTGTATACAATGCGTCCATCCGGGCACTCTGTAAGTAAGATTGCATTATCAAGAGAGAACTATTTGTATAATATCTTCACATTATTAAACTTTTTTATCATATCTAATATGGTTTACAGTGAACCATGTGTTATCGGGATATTGTGAACTTTACTTTCATTGCAGTATCAATTTTAATTGTTTTAATGTTGAATTATCTGATCAATTTCTTTGTTACCGGTGGTGTTCAGATAAAACCAGTTTTACTGTATTTTTTTTTATCTATTTCGACAATGCAGTCTTTTTTTTCAATTGGTCCCCTACCGGTGAATTTGGAGGGATAATAGTTTTTTTTTATCTGTCCGTCTGTCTGTATTTCTGTCTATCCATCCGGCCCTATAGCTATCCCTTTGTCTGTCTATCTGTCTGTTTGTCTGTTTGTCGGCCCATCTTGGTATTCCACACTTTTTTTCTAAACGCTTGAAAAAATATAGCACATTTATGGTACCGATATTTGACTTTACCTTGATTAATTATAGATCAATTTTGCATTGTGTTCCGTTTGAATGATTTTTTGACGGAAAAATGGAATTTTAATTTTTTATCGGAAACCATTTTACACTTGCCGATAAGGGACACGTATAGCTAATGCAATACTCTCAGAATGATTGTTGTCATAGTATTAGCTCACTTAAAAGTATATCAAAGTCCAACCAAGTAATATGTGTTTTTTTTATTTTTTGTTGGTGCAACAAAATTAAAATAAGTCAAAAAGTCAAACATTACTTATAAAATATATTTTGCTGCCCTGTTATACCATAACATTGTAAATATAGGATGATAATTTGTTTGGAAAGCTATTGAGATTTTAAAAAAGTGCGTAAAGCTTTAAATATTTTGCTGATTTTTTGAGATACTAGATAATTATTACCAAACCTTGTCGATCAAATTTAAAGAAAAGAATTATATGGTTCTTAGATTTTTTTTTCTTTTTGTGTACATAATACTTTGTATAATAGACAAAAGGATCATTCTGCGAGCATTACATTAGCAATACAAGTCCCCCACCGACAAGTTAAACTGCCATAATTTCAACAAAAATCATTTAAGCGAAAAAACTTAATCTATAGATTGTCAGTGTAAAGTCACATACCAAAAATCAGCTCAATATCTTCAAGGGTTTCCAAAAAAATAAATAGATAAATACGACAAACTGGTAAAAATTGAAAAGGTAATAATTCTGTCAAAAATCAATGCAAAGTTGACCTGTAGCTCATCAAGATGTATTTATGTACCAAAGATTAAGTAAAAATTAATATCTGAAAAAGGTTTTAAAAAGTGTTGGAAAACAAAGTGGGATAGACTGACAGACAATCAGAGGTACAGAAAGACGGTCGGACCACAGGGACATCTTATCCACTCTGTTCTTTACTTCACATATAAAAATGTGAAGTAGAGAACAGAGTGGATAAGATGCCCCTGTGGTCGGACGGACATGCTCAGATCTAGAGGAAACCTAGAGTCCCCCCCCCCCCCTGGTTTCACCGGAAAGGACTAAAAAATATTGCATGTACACATCTGTTCATCAGGATGTCAAACTCATATATGATAAGGTATTCACAACCGTAAATTGTGTTGTGTCATCAACATTAAGAAATATCTGATGCATTTTTTTTTAAATTTCATAAAAAAAATATTGTAGAATGATAAAGTCGTTTTTCTCATGTGAATGAGTCATATTTTGCTACCTTGTGTACAAGTGTTTCCATGGTAACCTTTATCGCAGCCATTCAAGCATGTCCCATTAATGTGATGACATTGTTCTTTATCAAGACAAGACCCGCATGACTGAGCACAGTTTAGTCCGAATGTTCCTCCGTCGCATTCTAAAGAGATGAACAGTTTGTTTTCAGACTAATTTTTAGGCTTATATGTTTGTTAATTTGCAAATATTGTTCCTTCTTTTGTGAAATTTAGATGTCTAATATTTTTTGGTATAGTGCATCATTGTTTAACTTTCAGAATTTACGATAAAAGGTACAAAAATGCTTATAAAAATCACAAAAATAAGTAATTTTGGTTAAAAAGGTTTTTGTAAAACAGGGGAACCAATATACTAGTTTCTACGTATCTTAAGTACAAGTATAAAATCATATTGTGCATTTATAATTGCATTTCAATGATTTTGATTTTTCGTTTTTCTGTAAAATACTATCATTTTTCTACATATTTGTAATATATATAACAGATTTATTACTCTTGTCACATTTTATATCCTTCCACCCTGCCTGACAACCATTTTGACATTGCCCTGTTTTCCTGTTACATCTTTTCGGCTCTCCACAGTTGATGTCACACATGTCTAGGCAGTTATATCCATACCGCCCTTCAGGACATACTAAGACAAAAATAAAGAGAGTCCTCAAAAAGAGTATTGAAGTATATGTAATATTGCTAAGCAAGGTTCAATAGTTCTTCTTAGTGTCTTTCCCCCTTTATATGATCATCAGTTGGCCGAATACTAATTTTTTAAAAAAGATGAATTACTTTGAAAAGTACACGTAAGGTGATGGAGATGAAAAAGACAATATACTAATTTTTACTCTAGATTATTAATTAATTAACCTTGTGTACAATTGTTTCCATAGTAACCTCTTTCGCAGCCATTAAAGCATGACCCGTTAATGTGATGACATTGTTTATTTCCGAAGCAAAACCCGCATGACTGAGCACAGTTTTGTCCGAATTTACCACCGTCACAAACTATAAATAGAATATGAAATTAATATACATCATATTACTTTTATATAAATTCTTTTGATAAAAAAAAATGAAAAAAAAAATGTGTTAGTCCTACAATAGATATTTATTGATTTTTTTTTTTTGTCCTTTAAAAGGATGTTGGTACTGCATGATAAATCTGTATTAACCAAATCTGTACTAAATAACAAAGACGAAAAGAAACTAAAATACATCATGAATATTTAATTTGCTATATTGTCCTGAACGGATAAACGAAAAATCTGTGAATATTTGAATGGAAAGATTATGGCCTAAAAAATATGAAAATCTTCATACATTCATAGACCTAAAGATACGATGGATTGAAATTGCAAACATGTCAATTGATTGTTTCGACAACAATATTCAATTATTTATATAAATGAGATATCTAAGTCAGTATCCTACATCATTATAAAAAAATGTTCCTTCCTGAAATATGCTCTTCACATATGTAATAAATAGGCCAATACTCTGTGATATACTTAAACCTAATTATGAAGGAGAATGCAACTAATTAAGTAATACGTGTGAGTTTAAATGTATTGCTGAATCGGTGAAAAAGATAATTCTTTGTCGTAACAGACATAGTTATATTATGCATTTACCTTCACACTGCATAAAAACCTAATAATTAGCGAGTTATAATCATCACAAAAAAAAAAAAACAACAAAAAAACGATTTAAGGACTTTTTTAAAAGCACAAATCATTAACTATGTTTTTTCTCTCTATCTCGCTCTCCTTTTCTCTCTCTCTCTCTCTCTCTCTCTCTCTCTCTCTCTCTCTTTCACCAAACAATTTTTCAGGAGTGGCTTGTAGTTACGTACATTGATCACATCGTGAACCTTTCTGTCCAGCAATACATCCAAAACAAGTCCCGTCCTCAATGTTACAGCGTTCTTCATGACAAGTCTGCGGACACGGAAATGTACAATTCTCTCCGTATATATCTAAGGAACGACATCCTGTAGTGAATATTAAAATACTTTAAATGACCATATTCAATATATTTTTGTTTTAGCTCTACAGACCCTGAGGCGTGCTACTATCCCAAAAAAGCGTGTGACTTTCGTGCGCTTTCCGTTTCGTTCAAACCGTGTAGCGTTTCGTGTAAACCGTGCAGCATTTCGTGCAAACCGTGTAGCGTTTCGTGTAAACCATGTAGCGTTTCGTGTAAGCTCCAAAGCGTTTCGTGCAAACCGTGTAGCGAGCGTGCGAAAAGCGTGTGAGAAACGTGCGACTTTCGTTTAAGAACCGTGTGAGAAACGTGTGACTTTCGTGCAAGAATCGTGTAAGATTCATTCGGAAGTCATTTTATTTTAAATATGGCTATCGATCGGTCAGGATGTCAAATTGTATTAGTATTTTATTATTGAATTAATTATGCTTGTGATATTTTAGGAGTAAAACCAAAAAAAAAAGGAATAACAAAATGAAATTACACGGTAATGTATAATTTATATTTGTTTCTTTCTTTTCCTTCTATAGAAAATGTGTTCAAATTAATCAACTATGTACAAAAATTTTAAGGTCATTGAATTCAATATACTTTCAACTCGATCATGGCTTCTTAAATATTTTTTTTCTCAAATAAAGATATTGGTATAATTTTTTTTTATTTAAAGCAAAAATAGTTCAGGACTCCGGCCTTGTCTTTACATGTAAAGTACGTGAAAGAAAGTTTTGAAACGAAGTGTCATTTTAATACATCTTAATACATAAAACTTGTTATACCCGCACTTTCGAAAGAAAGTTCGGGTATATTGTTGTTACTCATGTCCGTCCGTCCGTCCGTCCGTCCGTCCGTCTGTCACACTTTTCTTCCCTGAACTCCTCCTACATTTTTTACACTAGCTTAATCATCCTTTGGGAGATGGTTGGGGGTGTCATGTAGATGTGCAGTAAGGTTTCGGAATTTTGATTTTGCCCCGGGGGATCAAATGGGGGTCGAAAAATGACGTTTTTTTATACAAAAAGCCCCTTCTTCCCTGAACTCCTCCTACATTTTTCACAGTAGCTTAATCATCCTTTGGGAGATGGTTGGGGGTGTCATGTAGATGTGCAGTAAGGTTTCGGAATTTTAATTTTGCCCCGGGGGATCAAATGGGGGTCGAAAAATGACGTTTTTTATACAAAAAGCCCCTTCTTCACTGAACTCCTCCTACATTTTTCACAGTAGCTTAATCATCCTTTGGGAGATGGTTTGGGGTGTCATGTAGATGTGCAGTAAGGTTTCGGAATTTCGATTTTGCCCCGGGGGATCAAATGGGGGTCGAAAAATGACGTTTTTTATACAAAAAGCCCCTTCTTCCCTGAACTCCTCCTACATTTTTCACAGTAGCTTAATCATCCTTTGGGAGATGGTTGGGGGTGTCATGTAGATGTGCAGTAAGGTTTCGGAATTTTAATTTTGCCCCGGGGGATCAAATGGGGGTCGAAAAATGACGTTTTTTATACAAAAAGCCCCTTCTTCCCTGAACTCCTCCTACATTTTTCACAGTAGCTTAATCATCCTTTGGGAGATGGTTTGGGGTGTCATGTAGATGTGCAGTAAGGTTTCGGAATTTCGATTTTGCCCCGGGGGATCAAATGGGGGTCGAAAAATGACGTTTTTTATACAAAAAGCCCCTTCTTCCCTGAACTCCTCCTACATTTTTCACAGTAGCTTAATCATCCTTTGGGAGATGGTTGGGGGTGTCATGTAGATGTGCAGTAAGGTTTCGGAATTTTGATTTTGCCCCGGGGGATCAAATGGGGGTCGAAAAATGACGTTTTTTATACAAAAAGCCCCTTCTTCCTTGAACTCCTTCTACAATTTACTCAGCAGCCTAATCATCTTTTGAGAGATGGCTGGTGGTGTCATGTAGATGTGCAGTAAGGTTTCAGAATTTCGATTTTGACCCGGGGTTCAAATGGGGGTCGAAAAATGACGTTTTTTATATAAAAAGCCCCTTCTTCCCTGAACTCCTCCTACATTTTTCACAGTAGCTTAATCATCCTTTGGGAGATGGTTGGGGGTGTCATGTAGATGTGCAGTAAGGTTTCGGAATTTTGATTTTGCCCAGGGGGGTCAAATGGGGGTCGAAAAATGACGTTTTTCATACAAAGAGCCCTGTTTTCCCTGAACTCCTCTTACATTTTACTCAGCAGCCTAATCATCTTTTGGGAGATGGTTGGTGGTGTCAGGTAGATGTGCAGTAAGGTTTCGGAATTTTGATGTTGCCCCGGGGGGTCAAATGGGGGTTGAAAAATAATGTTTTTCAAACAAAGAGCCCTGTTTTCCCTGAACTCCTCTTACATTTTACTCAGCAGCTTAATCATCTTTTGGGAGATGGTTGGTGGGGTCATGTAGATATGCAGTAAGGTTTTGGAATTTAGATTTTGCCCCGGGGGGTCAAATGTGGGTCGGAAAATGATGCTTTTTGTGCAAAAAGCCCTGTCTTACTTGAAGTCTTCCTTAATGTTACTCAGAAGCCTAATAATCTTTTAGGAGGGTTAAATATTTTGAAAATTATGTAAAACATCAACGTCAAGGGGTAACAAGATGTGTTTGTGAAATACTATGCGCCCGGCATCAACAAAGTACAAAAAGCTATATTTTTTGCATATAGGTCACAGTCAAGGCCATTGACCTTGGTGTTGTTTGTAAGAACTTAATTAGTGGGGTATGCATACTAAATATGAAGTTGTTATCTCCTATGGTTCAAAAGTTATGGCAAAAAGTAGAAAAAGCTATTTTTAGCATATAGGTCACTGTTAAGGTCACAAGGTCATTGACCTTCATGTCATTTGAAGGAACTTTATCAGTGCAGTATTCGAACCAAATATGAAGTCTCTATTACCTATGGTTCAAAGGTTATGGCAAAAAGTGGAAAAAGTTATTTTTAGTATAAAGGTCACAGTCAAGGTCACATGATCATTGACCTTGGTGTTGTTTGAAAGAACCTATTTAGTGAAGTATGCATACCAAATATGAAGTCCCTATCTCCTATGGTTCAAAAGTTATGACCAACACTTGAAAAACCTATTTTTAGCATATAAGTCGCAGTCAAGGTCACAAGGTCATTGACCTTGATGTCATTTGAAACAACTTTGTTAGAGGAGTATGCATACCAAATATGAAGTCTCTATCTCTTACGGTTCAAAAGTATTGGCCAAGGTTAAACTTGACAACAGACAAACAGACAAACAGATAAACAGACAAACAGACAGGACAAAAACAATATACACCCCTAAAAAATTGGGGCGCATAAAAAAAAACATTGCATGCTGGGAAACACCTTGAATTCTTATGAGTAATTTATGTACATGTCAAATGTGAGAGTCATATCTCATCTCAATCAAAAGTTATAAGCAAATGCAACATTTTTGAAAAGTAGGTTAGGCTTGATCGCTTCAAGGTCAAGGTCACAGTGTAAAAATATTTGGAAAGGTCTTTATCACAGGTAATAATAAACATGCATTATGATATGAATGCCCTAACTTTTCTCTTTCAAAATGATGAATTTATAACAACTTAATTTTTTTGCAAGTTGGTCAAACTTCTAGGTCACATGTAAAAAAAAAACATGCCATTCTCACAGGTAAATATACTAATAATAATTTTAATATGAATGTCTCTTCTCATTCTGTAGATATGACCGTGATAACCAAGATTAAATTTTTTGAGACAGATGGACTGAGTCTGACATACAAATGTACATATTTCTATATGAATTGGGTAAAATTCGCCCAGTGGTTCTAGAGAAGTTAAAAATGTAAAAAGTTTTCAGACAAACAGATGGACAACACGTCACGACAGACATTATATGCTAAGGAAACAAAAAAAGCTCAAATGAGTGTTTTGAAAGGGTTACAATATGGTTGGAGTTAATTTGAAAAGCTGTTTTTTTTCCTGCAGAGATATGCATGACCAACATATTTATGTTTTATATTTTCTTTAGTAATTTGTTTGTTTGTTGTGAATACATCTTCCCTCATATGGAGACACCACCAAATAATAATGTAGATAAGATGTGTTTGTGAAACACTGATGTCCCAGTATGGAAGCCTATGGCGAAGGTTGAAGTTCCTCAAATATATGTCAAACTCAAAGGTCAAGGGTTCAAATTGTTAGTGTCAGAAGAAAGTCTATGTTAAATAAAGAAATCTCTAGTAATTCCTTTTCAAAAGTTAATTGCCAAGGTTAATTTTTTTTTTAAGGGGTTCAAACTCTAGGGTCAAGGTCAAACATATTTCCTGTTGACAGTTCAAAATGAATACAATATGTCATGATAAGTATGAAAGCCCTAGCACCTACTGATCAAAAATTAGGCAGAGTTTAAAGTTTGGTATTTTTCTTGTAAAAATGTGTATCCCATGTCAAGCGATCAGAGGTAAAAATTAATGGTACCCAAATAAAAGGTCTTATTAAATTGTCACAAGAAATAAACCTATAAAATGTGGAAGCTATATGTATAGCCCATCCCACTTAAAACTTATGGGCAAGCTAGCTAGGATTTAATTTTTGCAGACTTATAGACAGACATACTATAAACACAAGAAACAAAATATGTACATGTATAATAATTAGTCAAATGGAAAAAAAATATACTATTAAACTGGAATCACAAAATAGATTGTTATTTCAGGGACAGGAAGTGGGTAGGAAGATTGGAATCCCCCCGCCCTCCCTCCCCCCCCCCCCATCTTGCATTTGCTTTGTTATTTAAACAAGACTATATACTGTAGCAAGTAAAAAATGACTCTTGACATCCTCTCCCTATAAACTTAGAAAACATTGACCTCCCTATCATTGTTTTTTTATTTGTTTATTTGTTTTCATTTTTTTTCTCCTGCTTGTCACGAAATTCTGGGCTGGAATTTTTTGACTTAGATGTGAACCCCCCTCCCTACTCCCTAAAAAAATTCTGGATCCGCACCAGTATTGGCAGTAACTGAATGTCACATCGACAATGGGAGATAACTTCACAATATGAAATTCGTCTAGTGTGGCATGGGATGATCTTTGACCCTTTTTAAACTTTAACCTAATCATTGACTTCTACTTACCGACTCCCTGTGTCTCGTAAACTTCATGAAATATAAATCCAATTATAACACAAAATGAATTAATCCAATGCACACCAGACTGCAACCATGTGCCATTTTGGCGAACTTTCGTCGATTCCGTCACCTTATCAGATGAAGTGGGAATCGGCCGAGGTGTGCCAAATGGTGTTTAATCTATAAATATCATAATGGGTAACGCAACGTGATGTAATGTAGAAATTTACATGTTCACATGTATAGTACAAGAACAAATTTTAAATTAATTCATTACAAACGATATTAAATTTTAACAAACCTTTTCCATCTAGCCTATTCCAAAAAGTATGTGCTGTGTGATTGTGGCGTCGAGGGGGGGGGGGGGGGGGTGGTAAATTTAAAAAGGTCCTATTATGAGCAAAACATATATAATTTCAGACGCGGATCCAGAATTTTTTTCCGGTGGGGGGGGGGGGGGAGGTCCACCTCAGTCAAAAAAAATCCTATCCCAGAAATTGACAATCAAAAAAAAACCTAAAGTAAATCTCACCCAAACGTCAAAAACCTATATCGTGGAGGTGGGTAAGGGGTAGTGGTGACTTCTATTGCCGCAAATGTTTAACTTTTCATACCTATTTTACACATATTCGTGTTTACCAGGGGGGGAGGGGATCTGCATTTTCAAAGGGGGGTCCATTGTAACTTTTTCCTTGTTTTAGTGTATACATTTTTTAACCTTGTAAATTCCAAGGGGGGGGGGGCTGACCCCCCCCCCCCCTGACAGATCCGTGCATGAATTTACATCATTAATAAAATTCAGACTTGTATATAATGAATTAAGCATGTATAAAATAAATATAAGAGGTTCTGAGTTATAGGTCACAGGGTCTGAGAATTTCATAATCAATTTGATTAATACATGTAAATTATAGAATTATTTTGACTATTTCCTTTGAAAGCCGCCCAATATGTAGGAGCGTGTATTTAGAGGCAAACACCTTAGTGCGGGTATTACTGTCTCATGACAGCATCTAGTTGCTCATTATTTTTTAATTTAAAAATCTATTTAAAAATAAATGGATTTTATAATTTTAATTCACATGTACTGACGACCACATGTTTGGAAACGGGGGGGGGGGTTAAATTAAATTACTAGTACATTCTTTCATTTTTTTGTTATAACTTTCAATCTAATGTAAGTATTAAATAAATGCTTCATTTTCTATTCTTTTTTAAATCTTTGTTAAATATGTGCGCAGATACACCCCTTAAAAATGTTTGGAATCTTCTTTTCGCCTTTCAACTGTGATCAAGGTCATTTACAACAGCGATCACGGGCTACGAGTGCATGGCAACTGAAAACCTGTTTTGTTATACGAGTTCACGGCTTAATGACACCTGAAAATTACGACTGGATTTTATTGTTTTTGAAATAAAATGGTTCTATAAATATTTAATGGGTACAACTTATAAATCAGCTGATTTCATCTTTTATTTACAAATCCGAATTTCTAGCTGTAAACAGTAAAATAAACAGAACTGATTTGGTAGTCTTTTCATGAATATCATGTAAGAAAAGCTGAGGCGTAAATCATGAATAATTGTAAATTATTTGTTTTATAAATCACGTATACATTTTATTTCATCTATTTGAGTTCTCTTGTAATATACCTGAATGCCGGTGTAAAGATCGATCTACATTGTATGTATTGTATTGTGTAGTCAAATGCCGCGACTATTATATAATTAATGTTCACATATATACATACGTTAAGTCAGGTTTTGAAATGAAGGATTTTACAGCATGATGGGTATTCTGATGTTATTTGATAAGCTTCATGTAAAAAGAGAAAGAGAATAAAAACAGATTAAGACATCAGATTTAACCCACCCCTCTCTTTACCGGTTTCCCTCCTATAGATAATGCTTACGTAGGTTAAAAAAAATCTTTAAAAATGTTTCAATAATCGTCAGGAAAGTATATAGGCAAATTTTATTACTAAATCAAAATCTAGAAAAATAATCTCAAACACAATATAATCAATATCATTTACAATCAATGAGTTTATATTCCTGCAGTAAGAAATCGAATTTGTGTTTAATTTATTAAAATATACTGGTAAAATTATTACATCAAAATGAATGACTAATATATAAAAATGTATTTTATTAAACAGTCATTCATGATATCGGCATTTCGTTTTTAAAAAGCTGGATAAATAAATAAATAAATACGAAATGACAATTATTTATTAATTAATTATAACTGTCAGAGTATTAAATATTTCTATCGGTTTATGTTATACTAGTGTACTGATATTTAATTTAAACAGGTGCTAAATGTGGCTTTGTGAAAGATTTCCATTTAATTGATGATCAAACCGTAATAATGCCCGAGATATTCCGAGTAGAAAATCCAATCCGAGGCCAAAACGTGCGAGAATCGTGTACATAGCGTGTGAGAAACGTGTACAAAGCGTTTCGTGCAGCCTTTTGTGTAAACCGTGCAGCCTTTTGTACAAAGCGTTTCGTGTAAACCGTGTAGTGTTTCGTGCAAACCGTGTAGCGTTTCGTGTAAACCGTGAAGCGTTTCGTGCAAACCGTGTAGCGTTCGTGTACCGTTCGTGCAGCGAGCGTGTGGGGTAGTAGCACGTCTCAGGGTCTGTATGTTGTTTAGAGCCAAAACTGGGGGATAAAAACACATAACAAGTTAAATAATTATATCCAAACATAAATCATGGGGGATCCTATATTTATTTGAAATACCGGTAAACTATTTCCTGTCAAGCGTATTTGCAAAAAAAAAATTCAAATTAAACTTTATATAGATCTAGAATCACTCAATGAATCAATCAGAGATCTCTTGGTAAGATTAGATAACAACTGAAGAAGTTAGATTCAGCTTTTTTCTTCATTGTATTGGTTGACAATGGTTTTCCATGGGGTGTCAATTTCAACTGCTACCTTCCAAAGCAGGCGCCAATTATATGATATATCATAACGTATTTATTGTACTGAATAAGCTAGGTATTTCATATTTCATTACCATAAACCTCGACTTCACAGAGTTCATTGTATGCGTATGGAGAATATCCTTCAGGGTAGGTAACTCCTTGGATTCTCTCATTGTAATAGATGACGTACCTTCCATGCTTTATACATTCTAATGTGATATTACTCGGTATCGTTTCTCTGGTGTAGTGTGTGTCTTTAAAACATAGATAGCCGTCATCTTTCTTGGTGGTGTTCGATATGTAAACCGAAAAACCAAGGAAGCGGGAAGTGTAGCCATTGGATATATCTAGTGAAATTTATTAAATAAATATAAATGTGTGATGCTTTTTCATTATTATTTTTTTATAAACACTTAATGATATAAGTATATATTTGTGTTAATAATATTAAATATAATTTATTTCAAACATCGGACGAAATAATATTTACAAATATTTTCGTACAACGTCTTGCCAGTTTGCAATGATCACATTTCAGCAACATGCTCTAAAATAGTTTATATTTATCTTTTAAAAAGACATGCCAAAATAATTAGCAAACGTTTCTTTTGTGTCTTTTCCCCAATTTGTTTTTGGAGGGGGGAGGGGGTACTAAAAAAAACTTTTTACCCTAAGAACCTTTAATGCTATGGAATATCTTTGTCATTGCATAGTTATTACGAGTGAATTATCTTATCTTGTCTTTTGAAAGTTATTATATTTTATACGCGAAAAAATCTACAACATGAATAAATTATGTTACAAAATAATACCCACCGTAAACAAATATTTTACAGTGGAAATTACACCACCTTACCAATCCCTGGTCAATTAAAATTCTTATTTAAAATAATAAAGAAAAAGCAATATTTTTACCAACGAGCATTGTAAACTTTAAATAGAATATGAACTTAGTTAAATTGATGATTTTGAGTACGATACCCCACTGCAAATTGTCCGTCCTGTAGTAGATTGTAATATGGTGAATGCTGACAATCCCAGATAGATCCACCCACCAGGTAGCAGTTTGTTTTTGCCTTCCCGATATTACACATTGCCCTCCATTAAGAGACCTGTCCGAAAACCTCCCGTCCACTGCATTTGAAGACTTGATCAAACTGTGATAGGCGCTATAAGGATGATCTTGCCATGTTGATTTACGTAAAGCAAGACGCTCTATAAATAAAAATGAAACGAACTTTTTTTAATCACTGAAAGATTCTCTAAGAGAGAAAAAAAATCTCAGAAATGGCACATATATACCAAATTAAACGTGTCAAAAATTATTTTTTTATTAATTATAAATTTACTAAAATATGTAAAACTATTCAGTATTTCTTTTTTTTATCATTTTCATATACAGTTGCACCGCGGTATTTATCCAAACGCTATTTATCCTGAAGCATCACCTTCCGAACAAAATGTTTAGGTACATGTACTATTTTATTGAAACATGACTTTACGGAAAAAATACTTTAACCGAACGGGATTTTTCCAAACACAATTTTTTTTTTCAAATGTGAAGATAATCTTATTTTTTCTCTATACATTAACTTTTCATTGAAGACAAAATTTCGTTATATCCCTGCCAAATGGTCATTTTTTGTCCAATTTTATATTTTTATCGGTACTTATAGGAACTTGGACACAGATTTGAAGTTATTATTTTCTCTATTATATGACGACTTATATATTTTAATAGCAATTCACACAAAAATTAATTAAAAATCTGATTTCATATAAAAGATATTAATATTTCAAATTTTCGGCGGGTTTGATTGACACATCCTTGCACTTTTACAAATTAATTTTATTCTTATTCCTTAGGAAAAGTGGCAATCTCGCTGTATATAAATGAAAAATATTAATACTATAATCAAGAAAATTCAGAGTAGACATGTTCGAAGGCAAAACAAACACACAATATATTGTCAGTCCGTGCAGTTGTGGTAAGCAGACTGTGACGATTTAGAACGCACCCGGTGAATTCTAAACATAAACAAAAACAGAACTCGTGCCCTGTTTACAAAAACTGTGTACATAACACGAGTGTGCTCGATTTGCTAAACCATGTACACAACTCTTTGTTCGGAATGAAGATACATGTGAAGGAGTTTTGCTTTCTAACATCGCTACTCTGAATAAAATTGTTTTTCTGGATAAAAGTTTTAATATTTCTCATTAATACACACAAGATTGCCACTTTTCCTAAGGATTTAGAATAAGGTTAAAATTTGTGAAAGTGCAAGCATGTGTCAATCAAATCCGCCGAAAAATTTGAAGTTTTAATAACTTTTAAATGAAATAAGATTTTAAATTAATTTTTGTGTGAAATGCTTTTAAAATATATTAGTCGTAATATTATAGAGAAAATTTTGACTTCAAATCTGTGTCCAAGTACCTTTAAACCATAAAGTGTGTAGTTATCTTTCTTTAAACAATCATTTCATATTTTAATTTATAGTAAAAATAAATAAATAAATAAATAAAAATTAATAGTTCATCAATAAACATCAGTTCTAAAATTCAAGATCAGGGTTGACTATAAAATTCATTGTGAGTACAATGTATGTGAAGTAAAAGTTAACGCACTTACGACGTTTCCATCCTCACAATTTAATAGTTCAAAGTACAAAATCTGCATTTATTTTCATTGGATAAATTTTATATTTTTAATTCTTGCCAAAAAAATGTAAGTCACAATATCATTTAAAATACGCAACTTAAATAAACAAAAATATATGTCAGATTTAAAGAAATTGCAGATTTTTTGTAAACAGTATCATTAAAAATGTCTTTTAAAAATGGTTAAAATGCATAATTCTGATGCAGAATGTTCCTAAATGCTTCCCTGTTTTAGATTATTTTGAATTGTGAATATCCGGGAAACTATTTTACATTAGAAGAACAATAAAGCAAATGCCTGAATGAAGAGGCCTAAGAAGGAGTTACTGCCCTTGTCAACATTTTTTTAAAGATTGAATAATTGATTAAATAAAGAAAATTTACATTTTAAAAATTCTTTTACTTAATAATATTTACCATTACACCTATTGTAAAGTATTCTTCCAAAAGAATTTTTTTATTAGGTACGAGTTTAAACTAACTAAAAACCTATGACGTCATAGGGAGGGTGTAATTACCTTGAATTACAGTATTTAAAAATTAAAAATGCTGATCAGATAAAACGATTGTTTTTATCAATTACAACAATTTCTTCTCATACCAGTGATTTGACAAAATGTTTTTTTTAATGAAATACGGTATGTGTTCTTTAAAAAAAAAAAACGGGCTTATTTTAACGGCTTTGGCGCTGGCAACAATGCACTAATTAATGAATATCGCTAAGAATTAAATCATTTACATAATAATTCCATTACACTGAAGGGACATAATTATGTAGCGCTAATTTATGTTACGCCTTAACTCCACACCCAGTGATTACGCTAAATTTTGAGTACACCAGATTATTTACGCGTACAGTTTATCTAGAAAAATAAATTAGCGTCACCTTTGGCACACATTTGTTTATGCCAATATGTCGACATAACTATTTACAAATACATGGTATCATTGTGATAATAATATTGATGTTTTTCAATTCTTCATGTCTTCATTCTATTAACATCAATATGAAAAAAGGTGGCAAATCTAATGAAAAGTTAGTTGAGTTAAAGTGCAAAGACTGAATACCATCGATTAAGACAAAACAAAAAGGAACATGCTAATTCTAGTTGGCAAAGGAAAGCAAAAACGTCTCCACACATGTGTTAATCAGTCTCCACATTTGTTTTAATATTTTTTACATTGTCTTACTTTTCTTATCTTATCAATAAAATTTTTATTTTAATATAAATATGCATGTATTTCTTGGAACAAATTTGAATTAATATATTTTTTTTCCAACTGACTTAGGAGGCGCAGGAATTCTTATAAAAGACACATCTATCAGAGTCAGATTCAGATTTGACGGTACATATGCACAATCTTGCATGTGTGAAGTTATAAATAATTGTTGTAAGAAATTCGGGAAAAGCGTATTAAAATTCGGGAAAAGCCTATTGAAGAAGAAGGGTATGATCTGTTAAATTGTCCCCATTAAAGAAGATATTTCACATCATTTTAATTAATAAGAAAGAGTATAAATAATTCAAAAATGTACAGTGTATTTTCCCTCAAAGAAATAAATCATCAATTTCTCTTTGAATTGAATTAATTTACTGACAAAGTAAGTGTAATGAATATTTTGTGACCAGATTAAATAATGACAGCTTCCTCCTTTCTCCCAGTCTTTCAGTTATAAAAGCATGTAAACTAGTCATATGAGAATAATGTAAAATAATGAGATTCATTGCAGCCTTCATACGCTAGGACAGAGACTTAAAAACAATACAGGATCAGCCAAAAAAATATATATTACAAGAAAAAAAAACCCAGATTTAACTATAAAACTGAATTACTGAGTATTCTTTATTTTCGGGATATATAACCAGTATAAAATATCACTATACTCAGATTTAAAAAGCTGGAAGGAAATAAAGATATTTTTCCTTCACGCCTCTTCAAAAGTTGTAATTGAGACTGTGTGACTATGACTATGCCTACGATCTCATTGCTGATGTTTCCCAATTCCCTTTTTAAAAACATTTTTAAGTCTTTAATGTTAAACTAAAGCAAATACATTGTACAGGATCTTTCTCTGAATCCCAAGTGAAGTGAAGATTTTTTAGGAATCTTTGGAAAATAATTCAATAACATTATTTTCTCATTTCTTTCTCGGAAATGTTTAAATACTTATATCCATATAACTTAAATTATTTTTAGATTTCGACATTGCTACGCTAGCTGATAAGGTTAAGTGTAAAGACCTTTACACTTCCACAGCTTCCACTTGTACGTTATTTAAATACACAATAGATTATTTCTGTTCATCTAAATTTTTCCTTTCAATGTCTATCTTAGTATTTTTTTCCTTAAAGTTTTCCTTGTCAAGAGTTTTAAATATTATCAATTTTAAATGCCAGCCTACGGTATCAGTATGTTAGCATGTAAGTATTCGAAGAATACCGCAAGGAATTGAAATGACCAAACTAAACTTGCCTATTACAAAAATGTGATTTGTTATAACAAATTCGATAATTATTTATATCGAATTCATCAATATATTTTGATTTGTGCAAAATTGGCTTCCAAAAAATGGTCATATTTAGTTCAATTTAAATACTTAAGTCACATACATTGAATGGAGGAGTAATATTGTTTTTAATAGATTTCAAAAAAAAAAAATAAATAAATAAAATAATAAAAAAAAATAAGTAGATAAATTCAGTGAAAAGGGATTTGTCTTTGATTAATCCTTGATTTTTACTGTTAATTTACAGTAACAATTTTTGGTTCGTGTTTGTTGAAACATCATAATATGAAATATAAATAAACAATTCTGTATTTTTGTAACTACCTTGGATTTAAGGATGTGGCAGGAATACAAATCTCAGATAGCAGAATTTCTTTGACCGTGCAACGATTTTTTTTTTTAAACAATATTTTATTCACAGATGTTGTCGTGAATAGGATTGGGCAGCAGGCGCAGCCTATTTTAGCCCTCTCCCTACATTTAGGTCAAGGTACAAAACAAATAGTGATATTAAAAGAATGTACAAAAGAAGAAAAAAAAAACACAAACAAAATTAAACAAAGTAACAGAGAAAAAAAACAGAAAAAGTCATATGTAGAAAATTAAACAAAAGAGAAAAATAGAATGAACAAAATAACAAAAAGGGAAAATTACAGGGGGAGACAAAATACAAAGTAGTACCGGTTTGGGAGTACTTCTAACAAATAAAAATTATATCTATATATAGATATGACAGTGTTTATATAAAACGTTTTGTTGCTGCTATAAATGTATGTACAGCTTCAAATATTTGTATATTAATGTCAACGATTTTTTTAATGTATAAATCATGTTAAACATTTTTTTTATATTTTAGATTAGAAAAAAAAGAACATTTATGCCAATCAATTACTAATAAATTATATCCAGTCAGAGTCCCAGCTTGTTTTGCGAAAGGTTGGGATAAATACGTAGCCACCTAAGAACAAAAGCATCTAAAGTTTCTGACAAAAAATGTGGGAGGTAGGTGGGCGGGATCTAAATCGTCCTTGCAGTGAACAGCCCAATCAAGGAATGCCACAAACGATTCAGACCCGTGGAAAAAACCCGGGGCGACACATATTCAAATACCAATTAAAAGCATGCATTTCGAGGTATGCATAATGATGCAGAGTGAACTGCGGCTGACACCTATAATTTACTAGCACTGAGCCATGTTCCATTTCCGGTAATAGATTACGCGTAAACTCCTGATGCTTGAGTTGAATAACAATATGACAAATACACAATAAAATACTTATATCTAAACTTGTCGTCATAAACTATGCTATTTTCCCATATATTAAATTTGCCAACCATATACAAATGAATTATATCCAGCCATAGTCCGAGCTTGTTTTGCGAAAATTAGACACAATACTCATATTGTGTGAAAAGGTCATTTATTCACGAAAGCACATTTCTCATAATATTGAATATTATATAATAGGCATTTACAAAAATACATATGATATGATTGAATAAATGACATAGATTTGCAAAGGTGGGGATAAATATGTTGCCATCCATGACCTCTGAAAGAGGGTGGGGGTATTATTGAAATGAAAAGAAATTATCTTACCATAGGCATTTGCTATATTTCCAATCAATATTAAGGATAAATAACACAAACAAACTTTTTTCAGAAATCAGCATTATTTCTCATAGATTTACATTTACATTGGTAACCTGAATAATGTTTACCAAGTAGAGTGGGAGGATTTTATAAGATTTTGTCATAAAGTTAAAAAATTGTGCAAAATTTTGTATGGAATTATATAGAAGGCAAAATAAAATCTCAAATCTAAGCACCAAGGAAAACCTACGATTTCTTTATATTTCAGGGATTTATTATTTATGTCATTACAAATCAAAATCAGTCAAAAAATATATATCAACCCGCGCATCCATTTTTTGTCTGTGGTAAGTACCCTTAATTTGCTAAGAAAATAAAACAACATAACTCAGCTGTTCATGTAATGTGATGCGGAATAACATAAAAACGGGAAGCAAAATGAAGACATTTATAGCATTTTCTTTAATGAATGATGCAAGTTAAAAATACAGTGTTATTTCCGAATTTATGTGAGACCTCACGTTTTCAATGTACTTTCATAAGAAAAGAAAAAACACAGAAAACAAAAAGAAAAAAAGAAACGGAAAAAAACTAAAGAAAGGTACATTTCATTATTTAAAGTAGTAATCAAGTTTTTGATTGTAAACATTTTAGAATTTTTTCCCCCATTTTTTTTTTCTTCCTTTTATTTCATTTATTAGATTTTCCTATTATTTCCCCCTCATGAAAAGGACCACACGACGGGTGTGACCAGTTCGACAGGGGATGCTCATTCCTCTTCGGCACCTGATCCGGCATCTGATGTTTGGAGGTCCGTGTTTGCTCTGCTCCTATTTTGGATTGTTTTATGGACTTTTGATCTTGAATACTGTTCGTTATCTCCTAATGTTTCATTTGTTTATTAGACAAGGGATATTCAATATATTCTAGTTGGATATTCATTTAGAATTGATTTCACTAGTCGGACTGATTTTTTTTAAATCTCACTATTTGTATTCAGTCCTGAGTGAAAATTAAAGAAAATCTTACCTCACAAGTGATATAAATTCCTTAATCAACTAAAAAAATGGATTTTCCATCATTTATGATTTCTTTTGCGGCTATCTTTTTGTTATACGATTACGTATAACCTCAATCATAGTTCAATGATTGAGACTTTATCGCTGAACGATTGTATGAGGTTAAAAATATACTGGTGACTTTTGCCACTTGACCTAAAAGAGTTATATCTCAGGTATGCTATTTATTCCGCTTCAGAGAATTCTTCCAGTATGCATTTATATTTCAATGCACATTCACTTTCCTAAGGAAAAAAAATATTACATTTGCCAGCAGGGGACAGTTATTGCTATGGGTAACACTCTCAGAAACCTTATGAACAATGTCTATATATATCCTATAAAGGACTACGTAGTATATAATTAAGGTATTCTTTGTGAATTGAAGTAAAAGAAAACAAGAGTTTTAAAGAACGTCTAGAATTTCCTTTTATTCTGTGTTTATTACAATTGTTGAATACCCGGTATAACCTATATAATCAAAGCCCTGAAAATATCCTGAAAATATCAATAAAAAATAAGGTTTTACCTCCCCACACAATGGTACAATGTACAAAAACTGCATTAATTTTCATTTAATATAGTTTGAATTTACCAATTATTGCAAAAAAAAAAAAACCTATAGGTTGTTACATTATTTAAGATAGGAGACATTTATTAAGAGAAGTATGTGACTACATAAAAAAAATTCAAACATTTTTTTATAACAGTTTTTAAACAAATCATGTTAAAACTAGTTCAATAGCATAATTCTTATGCTGAAAGCTTCGAAATATCTGCTAATTATGGGATACTTTTTTAAATATTGAATAATTGATTAAATAAAGAAAATATATATTTTAAAAAATTCTTTTATATAACATTTATCATTTCACCAATTGAAAATTATTTTTTCAAAAAGATATTGTTCTATTGGAAATTAAATTAACAAAAGTTTTTTTTTAAATCAATAACTTCATGGGAGGATGAATATACCTTAAAAATTTCTAGAAAACAAGCATATTACTATTATAATATTATTCATGAATTAGTTACGATTTACTTAACTATAAAAAAAATGATAAACAAGATTTGTTTGTGAAACACTGTACACCCGGTGGCAACAAAGTTCGAAAAAGTTTTCTTTTTAAGGATAAAGGTCATTGACATTGGTGCAATTTGAAAAAAAAACTTAATTAGTCGACTAAGCATACCAAATTTGATACCTCTATATTTTGTATCTCCTATGGTTGGACACAGTCAAGGTTACAAGGTCATTTTAAAGAACTTAAACATTGGAATAAGCATACCAAATATGAAGTCTCTATCTCTCACGGTTCGAAAGTTATGGGAAAGGTTAAAAAACGTTGACAATCGTTGACAACAGACAGATAAACAGATAAAAATAACGCACCTCTGTACATTCATTGTCCCTCTTGTGAAATATTTTTAAGCCAAACCTCCTGCTACATGCAGAAAATGTAAATCTATTTTTTTCTTTTGATATTTGTAATAAATGATCTATAAAACACAACTAGAAAAAAGATCTTGAAGCAGTCTAAAAAATTATTCTATGCTTTATTGTATTTAATCACTGTTTATTTATAGGATAAAGTTTCAAATAAGAAAACGATGTTCAGGAATATAACTTGATGAAAAAAAACAAAACAAAAAACAAATCATATACCACCAAAAAGATGAAAGAATTTTGTTGTATTCCAGTGACCTGAATATATCTATATCACAATATAGATACTGTATGTTTGCAAGTAGCACTTAAGCAGTGATTTCTACATTTTTTTTTTATTTTCCTATCTACCCCCAATATCACCTATCCCCTTTAGTTAATCATTCATAGAAAGACTAAATGGAATTAAACCCGAGTTGTCTGCTTGTTAATCCAACATTTCCTTCAAATTTCAATGATAGTACAGTAGTTTCGTTCAGCCAATCGCTCGGCTGCCTCTACTCCTTCCCCCTCTCTGTTTCAAATTTAGAGATGAGAATTTCTATATTTTTGAGTGATCAATTTTCCCCAAAAAGGAATATATTCTATTATTACATTTTTACCCGTGAAATACTGTAATTTATTCATTGAATAAAAATGATATCCTGTCACAGTGTGATAAGATATCAAAATGATATCCTAACACAGTTTGACGAATATCAGAAGTGCGGGAAAACTCTCGATTTTCCTTCCCATAACGAAGATTGTTGTGAAAAAATCTCCCTTGACCTACTATAAGATAGATGGAAATACATATTAAATAATTCTGACAGCGAATAAAACTCTCTAAATTTACCAAAAATATGTTGATAAATCCATTTTTACAGTGTTTTCACCTCACTTAGCTAATGACGTCTCAACTGCTCAACTATGACGTCATGTAGCATATAACTGTATTACAAAAAGACAGAGGCAAGGGAAAAATCAAAGATTTTCTTTAAAAATATAATAAACAGAAAATTCAATGTTTTGTAGTTGAATATGGAATTTATTTCACTAGTGAGACAGGATTTTGTGATATTTTCAAAATATCAACAATCCTGTCCCACTCGTGAAATAAATTCCATATTCAACTACAAAACATTGAATATCCTCTATTTATCTTTAAGTAGAGCTGTTATAAGCTCTGTAAATATCCCCAAAAATTTTGAAAAGACTATTTTTATCTCCTTTAGAAGCAAAGCTGCGTAAAGAAATATTTAAAAAAAAAAAAAAAAAAAAAAAAAAAAACTGAAAAGTACTCTTAGAAATAAACTTAGTTCGTCACGTGATCAATTCTTGTGAAGTCCAAAGGGTTAACTTTTTAACTTTGATGTATTTTTACTTATATTTACGTTTAAGACGAATATATTCCGAGTAAAACTGCATTTATTACACGTTATGCTGTGACACACTATGACTTAGGGGGCCTTGAAGTTCTTTGGTTTGAAAGTTCTTGTCGCTCCAACATTTGAATATTTACAATGATGTTCAGCAGTTCAGTTCAGGAATGCTGTGTTTATAATCGAAGAACAACGATCCCTACTGAGAAAATTCGTACTATTTTATGGGTTTTAAATATATTTGAATTCAAAAGCGGTGACATTCACAATTTTAGTTATCATAACTTCAATGGAATTTCATGTTAAAAAGGTTTTCCGATTTTAGTCTGTAATTACAGTATTTCAAATATTCTTCAAACCAAAGGAAGATCAATTGAAGATCTGTTGAATGAAAATATCTATATGAGTTCGTTATTTTTTCATCAAGTTTTACTTGGGAGTTACGAAAACAGACAGATATATATGTAAACAAGATATCACCTCGCCAAGCGATTTGGTCCCGCTATGACCTCTGACCCCCAAAAATGTACACACAGAATTGAACATAGATTCTCTTCAATAGGTTCATCTAAGAAAGATATAATGCAAATGTAAATATACAAAAATGATCAAATTTTTAAACCAAGAGGTAAGAAACATTTCTTTGTCAAATGAAAGTCAGCAGCTTAAGATATCATATCTTAAGATTTATTTGTTGACCCTCCAGCCATCTAAAATTTGTAACTGGTACATATATATTATTATAACAGTAACTTGATCCGAAGGGTCGTATCACGTCGAGTTGACAGGCGCGGATCATCAGATCTAAAGAGACGCGAAGCGTTGAGTTTGATCTGATCATCCGCGCCTGTCAACGAGACGTGATACGGCTCTTCGGATCAAGTTACTGTTATAATGATAAATTCATTATATACCCCCTTATAACTAGCTAATTATAAATATAGCCGAATAAAACTTTGGAGATCAATTGTATAATATTTATCCATAAAACAAAGCATAATAACAAGGGACTTTTTAACGCGCAAGAAAAATAACGTCATGTTTTTGCGTACTATGTCATCAGTTTCAGAGAGTGGTGATATGGATTCAGAAAACCACAGTGTGGTGATCCGGAAAGTCGGATCAAACTCTGTAAAATTAACAGTAACAAAAACAACGAAATTGA